GTGCCAACATTACTCATGTGTTCAGTGGATTTTAATTAGAGCTCTGAGAGGTTGGGAAAACTGGCTGAGAGACCACGCTCACTTCTTTCACAAGGTACCATCTGTACCAGCCTTTTCATCTAGCTTTGTTGTAGCTTGAGTAAAGCAGAGCAAACAATAAAGATAACACAAAATGCACCATTGAGAGGGATCTCAAGACCCTGCAAAATATAGAGGCAAGTCTTTAGGGAATGATACTTTGAATTTGTAAATATAGAGAGATAGATGTTACACTTATTTGTTTAGAGCTCACACTTAAGTGACGGAGTAAAAACATTCAGTTACAAGGAATGCCTGGACAAATACTGAACGATGGTAATATATAATCCAACACCATCACAAAATGAAAGTATGCAGTTTCACCAGGCTTTCAAATACTGTCCTTCCATAGACACACACACACTCATAAATGTGAAATTAAAATATCAGGAAGTAGATAAATGGTACATGATGACATTTATTTTTTCACAAATCTATCTATTAGTAAATAATACCAAACTAACCAACTAGGGGGAGGTCATCTGGAGTTTTAGAGTTGGGTGTCATCTCTACGCAGATGACACACAACTCTACTATTATTTTCCACCCCTTTCCAAGGAAGCTTCCCAGATCCTGGATCAGTGCCTGGCAATTATGATGGACTGGATGAGGGCCAACAAGCTGAGGCTTAATCCAGACAAGACAGAAGTCCTCCTGGTTAGTCGCAAGGCCAATCGAGGTATAGGGTGGCAATCTGTGCTTGACAGAGTTACACGCCTCCTGAGGACACACTTCACTGTACGGGTGTTCTCCTGGATTCATTGCTGACACTTGAAGCTCAGGTATCAGTAGTGGCTGGGAGGGCATTTGCACAGTTAAAGCTTGTGTGCTAGCTGCAACCATATCTCAAAAAGCCTGCCATGGTGGTCCATGCCTTAGTTACATCTACACAGTTTTGGTTCAGCCTATCTTCATGACCACATCTCCCCCTATGAATTGGTGCGGGCCCTAAGATCTGCCAGGGAGGCCCTCCTCTCAGATGTGCCTCCATCTTTAGTGCAGTTGGTGGGGATAAGGGAGAGGGCCTTCTCAGTGATGGCCCTCTGGCTCTGGAACACCCTCCCCAGTGAACTTAGATAAGCTTCTACGCTACAATACTTTAGGAAAGAGTTAAAACTTTGTTTTTCCAGCAGGCATTTGATAATGTTTAGAAAGTAACCAGAACTGATCACCAATCACTTAACACTTTATAAATACATTTTGTGCATTCAGCTGGGCTGCTATATTAATTACAAGGATCTTTTAACTGATTCTATTTTAATAGAGGTTGTTTTATCCAATGTATATATCTGGTTTATGTGATGTATTATTGTTTTCATGTTGATGTATTTTATTTTATACTAGCTTGGGGACCCGGCGTTGCCCGGGTTATTAGAGAAAGTGGGTAATGGCGGTTCTG